AATCTCCATCATGTTGGCTTCAAAAGTGACTTCCTCAATAAGACTCCAAAAGCACAAGTAACATCAAGAATCAGTAAATGGAATGATATCAAACTGAAAAGCTTATTCATAGCAAAAGGAAATAGAGATGTGAATAGAGATTCTACAGAATTGGAGAAAATCTTTACCACCTGTACCTCAGATAGAGCATTATTCTCCAGGTTATACAAAGAATACAAAAAAACTTAACACAAGAAAAGTAAATAACCCAATAAATAAATGGGCAAAGTGTTAGGTGCAGAGCAGGCTGAACTGTGTTGTCTGCAGGGCAGGCTGAACAGATGTTGGCTGCAAGATAGCCCACGCACTCAAACCCCCCTCTATCTAGTCCTTTATCACCTGTTTGTGTCAAGTCCCGCTTAAGGCTGAGCACTCAACCCCCCCTTGGGCCAACAAGGCAGCTTGCAGACCCAGAGGCCCCATTAGATTTGGGCTATAAAAACTCCCTCCTGCCAGGCCCCCCTCTCACTTGCCCCCCCCTCTTGCTCCCTCTCTCTCTTGCTCCCCCTTTCTCTTGCTCTCTCTCTCTTGCTCTTTATCTTTCTTACGTGCACTCTCTCTCTCTCTTGCTCTTGCTCTCTCCCTGTTCATCTCTTCTCTTTTCTCTCTCTCTCTTTCCTTCTTTCCTTTCTCTTTGTTGCACTGCTGCAATAAAGATCTTTTGGTTGCTCCGAGTGTTGTGGTCACTTTCCTTTCATTGGTGCTGAAACCCGGGAGAGGGTTAAAACCCACTTTGGGGTCCCTCTTCCTACGGAAGTGCCACTCACCAGATGGCCTGAACCCAGGCCTGAACCCATTTTCTCGACTGCCAGAACTCCATCCACCACCGACCTTCGATTGGTGAGTTTCCCCTTCCTGGAGTCCTAAACCCAATGGTGGTATCAGGAGGATTTGGCCGTTGATTGTCCGGCAAACCTCTTTGCCCACCTGCGGGGAGGAAAACACCCCACCACAGCCTTCAAGGCTACGGTGGTCCTCAGGGACTCCTTCCTAGGGCAGAATAGACTCCTGGGTTCAAAATTATTCCCTTCCCTTCCCAGCTGTTAGTTACCAGCATAGGCTTTGTAGGTCTCCCTCAAAGGACTGTGAAACCTCCGGGGACACATAACAGAGAACTGAGCATCACAGTCCACCCAGACCTTCACCATCTTGGTGGCTCTCCTAAAGTCCTAGTCCTCAGACACTTACCCTCCCCTTCCTCTCTCTTCCCCTGTCTCTCTCTTTCCCCTCTTTCCGGCCCTGCAAGTCTCCAGCCTCTCCAGGAGGGGTCCCGAAAAGTAAAGCCTTGGCCAAGGTCTCCCACGGCTCCAGTTCCGTCCAGGACGAGAGCTTCAACTGTCAGGATTCAGTGACGACCAATCTCTGCAGTTCGAACCTGCCACTAAGGCACTCCTGATTTTTGGCTCTAGCGGGGACGCCCCTTTTGCCAATAAATCAGTTTCCTCCTTCTCTCTTATACTACAATTGCGTCTCCTTCCTTCTCCTCTATACCAAGTTTGCATCCCCTTCCCTCCTCCTTATACTACTTTGCAACATGGGTAATGTGTCCTCTCTGCTGGTCGGCTCTCCCCTACAATGCCTCTTTGATAACCTCAAAACCCTCTCCTTGACACCAGACATTAAACCCCCAAAATTGATCAAATATAGCACCCAGGCCTGGCCCACTTATCCCTTAGACAACCAAAGCAGATGGCCCCCCTTTTGGGTCCCTGGATCCCTCCATTCTAAGGGATCTCTACAATTACTGTGAGCATTCGAAAAAATGGGTAAAAAGCTGCTATATCAAAGCTTTCTTCTTGCTTGTGCTCTCTGCACCTCTTGCAGACCTCTGCAAATTCTTCTAGCTTGCAAACCAACACCCACAACCACTGATCCCCAATCTCCTCCTCCTCCGGACTCATCCACTACTTTTGACCCTACTGATGAATTTCCACCCTATCGCCCAGATCAAATAGGTCCTCACCCTCAACCTTCTGCCCCAGCCCCTCCACTGTCTCCCCCACCTGAACAACCTGACTTCTCCTCTCCACTCACTAGATCAAAAACCTAAACAACCGTCTTTCCTCAAAACATTGCCTCTTTTCTGAGGTAGCAAGTACTGAAGGAATCCCTTCACCCACTCACTCCTCTCTTCTCCTGTCAGTGCCCACACCGGGTCCCACCAGGTCCTCTTACCAGCTAACCCAAAGCTCAAACCAGCTGAGGAGAGCCCTTGGACCCCTATCAGAGATCTGGTGAAATGGCCTTTAAAGTTGCTTTGTCATCACTGAAAACGGGTTACTAAGAATTGTCCCTTACAGCCTTTTTGGGATATTCACTCCCATCCTCCCCTCTGCTCTACCTGTTCTGCTGCTCAAGTTTTCCTTGCTAGGGAAAATCCTATTCTTTTACATCACTCCTTCCTCATTCTCAGATCCACCAAGCTGCTCTCAGCCCTGCCTTCCTGTCTTCCCCTCCTTACCCAGGCCCACAGAAAAGGCTTAACTGAACTTCTCCAGAAATCTTCACCATGGCTGATTTTAGGACTTTCAACAAAAGAATCTCCACAAAAAGTTCAATGTAGATAAACTTCCTATTTTCCTGTTGCCCTGTTTTACTTGGTCACTGGCTGGAAAAATCAGCACTCCAGGCGCTGGACACCCCCTTACTATTTTTTTCACAAAATATGTAAAACAAGGCCACTGGCTTTGAGCTGGGGCTTCACAGAGAAGGCTACATGTCTAAGATAAGGAGGTTACCAACTGGGCTCCATGATAACAGCTGGCAGGGGTGGGGAGGGTGGGGGGAAAAGGAGAATAAGGAAAAAAAAAAGCTCTCCCCCTCCCAAGTGTCCTTGAAGGGTTAACTTGCCCAGAACAGAGGAAAAAAAAAACTGCTTTTTGTGAACTTCTGCAGACTGCGAACTTCTGAGCCACTCCCCTTACATGTTGGGTACAAAATTCTGAAACAACCTAAACTTGGGGTTCAGGGGATTAATTGATTACAGCAGAAGATGTGCCCTCTAAATCCGGCTGCAACCAAATAAAACTATTTCCCTATCTTCAGAGCTATCTTAGGTGCCTTGCCTTGTCCGTCCCTACAACAGTATAATTCTATATACTTAAACATTGTTCATGTATTCATGAAATGGTCAACAGATGTGATTAATTGTATACTGCAAATAACAAAATATCTCTTATTAAAATGGAATAATTTGCCTAAATTCAGAAATTTACAAGGATTATTTAAAAATGTAAAAAAAAGAAAGAGTTAACAAATAGGAAAGAAAAATTAGAAGCTTCTAGGTATGGATTTAATAGAAGGAAAATGTGTTTCTGGATAAGAGAGTCTATTAAGTAAATAAGAGGGTTTAAGTAAGTGCTAAAGAAGGTCTGTATATACAACTATGGTTAAACAACAACTGTTATTTTGCAATATTGTAATATGTTATTTCTCTAAAAGCTAAACTTGA